AGGGAAAGAATGTTGTTCTCTATACAAAGCAAACAGATACTTCTGTGGTTGGATACCTGAGGTAAGAACACAGGACTAGATGAGATTGCCTGGATAACCCACCCTTACAAGATAATTTCGTAGAAAGCATAATCTGACTTAGAAAATAAGAAATGCCACAAAAGCAACTAAAGCTTCAGTAGTATTTTTTCTGCTTCTTGCTTCAGAAACCAGCACTGCAATGGTGCAAGTATGCTGAAAAGATGTTAAGTTGTCAGGGAAATTAAGAGGCACTCACTCACTGAAAGCCTATTTTATAAAAAAAGTATCTATAGCTTTAAAACTAAAAAAAAAAAAAAAATGCTGCCATCCAGATGCTATGAATCATTTTGAGTGACATCCAACCAAGATTCCTGGAACTCTGCAAACTATGCATCCAGTGTACACATGGTGAAGTTTAAACTAGAACTTTAATATTAGCTTGAAGCAATATGCTTACAGGAGCATCATCAGTTACAGGAAATTAATTTTTAATTCATGCTAACAAACAAGAAATGTTTTTACCACTCTGGAAAAATAAACATGTGATTTCTTCATGTATTTCTAATACATGCTATCATCAATCTGATTTTTTTTTTAAACTGGCATTTATCTTATTGTAGTTGCCCAATATGACCTGCAGTGAAATATTAATATTCATGATATTTAGTATAAAACCATTTGTACATCTGCTTCCAATTACCTACTACTTTTTCTGAATTTCATAGAAATTGAAGGATCTGTGGCTTGAAGCATATATCCAAATAAAAGCAAAGCAAATCTTTAAATTGCTCTTCTCTTTCTTTGTATCTATTTCCTGATTTATTATAGGAAACATATGAGGATATGATGCAACAATAAAACAGAGCCCGGTTTTAATTCTTGCAATACAAGAAATTCTTTCTTTTACTTCCCAATTAGTAAAAGCCAAAGACTTGCATCAGAAGCCTATATCATGTGGAGGATAATACTTTGCAACAAAAAAAAAAAATCATCCCTAACAAGTTTCTTAACTGGGGGAAGACACAAAATTGTACTAAAAGTTAAATTAAAAAGTGACATGAAAGTGCGTGCGTGCGTGCGTGCACATACATAATTGTAAAACCAAACAAGGGATCTGTGCTGGATACCACAACTGTTATGAAAAGAAGAATATTTTAAATGATTTTCAAAACGTTTCTAAGGATTGTGACGTTTTAGAATTATTTAGTAGTTAAATTGACAATTATCTGATAACTACATGAGTGGCAATAAAAAAGTGGCTAATACAGAAAGGGAAGTTGCAGGTACACGTTTATTGCACTTGGCAAATGTGTTGCTGAAAGTGTTAACCGATACCACTTTAAAGTCAATACAATAAATACAAGCTTGTTAATCAACAAATATTGGAGATACAAGCTCTGGGATGCCAGCTGCACACAATGTAATACAGTTTGTTCAAATCAGCAGTGCGTGCCCCACCCCAAAAAATTAATTCAGAGATTTACAACCTCAGAAGTAAAGAATATAAACTATCAAGATTATGATTCTTCAAGTACATGAGAAGCTCTTCTTTCAGAAAGAAAAGAGAATCCTTTAAACTAAAGCTTGCATGCAATTCAGTCCCCTTCCTGTAATAAGCAATAACAGGAAGAAAAGCAGGGAATATTTTGAAGTTTCATGTATAGTTTTGCAGAAACTTAAGATCTTTTAACTTGGCAATACAACATATATTTACAGCTTATAAAATACAAGGTATGCTGTCCTTAAACAAAGTTCAAGCTCTACATTTCTGCTTAGTTGGAGATCAGTGATCTAAAACTGAACGCTACACCACATTTCCACAGATGAGTATAAAAAGGTATAGTAAGAACACATAGGGCCAAAATGAGGAAAGCAGAGGTACAAACTAAGATGCAGTAAAATGGAAGTAAATTTATAGTCAGACACAGACCAGGGAAAGAAACAGCCTACTTAATGTCATTTAAGTGTCTACTTAAGTTTGGGTTTTTTTACCTCCCTGCCTGCCATCTGACACCTCCAGGGAAGGAATTCTACCTGATCAACATATCAAAGAACTACTCAACACAGCCCACAAAGACACTCTCATGGACCCAGAGGGACAGCCTTCCATCTTCAGCTCCCTCTGTGCAAAAATGAAGTTTATTTCCTACCTATGGGGACTTTTTACCATTTTGTACCATCTACACTTTTCCCAGAGCCTGACGAAGGGACCTTGATCCCGAAAGCTTGCAGAAAAGGACAATTTTCTTGCCATTTTCCAGCTGGTCTAATAAAAGGTATCATTTTGGAACCAAGAGTTCTAGTTTTTTGTATGTACTTAAGTTAACTTCATTTAAGTGTTTTTGCTTCTGTTTTTCCAATGATTAACTTGGATCAGAGAGAGTCTAAAATCCTGGCTAGGCTAGGGAAAGCAACAGGTTAGAGACTGCTTAGAAAATTCACACGCTTTTAAATTAGCTAAACCTAATGAACCCTCGTGTGCTTAGAGAACTAAGAGAAATCAGAGAGCCATTAGTAATTTTTTTTTTTTTTTGAGAATTTAAATAGACAATAGGTGAGGTCCTAGAAGGCTGGAAAAGAGCAAAAACCATGCCGATCTTTAAAAGAAGGACCTAGAGAATTATGGGGGAGAGGGAGGCACGGCTCTGGCAGCAACAGCGACAGCGGGAGCCTGGCAGCAGCAAATACAGAGATCCCCAGGACCTCCAGTAAGTGTTTAAAGTGCATTTAAAATGCTGGTTCGGCATTCACGAATATTTGAAACCGCGAGTGCTGAACCTGCAAATACTGAGGTTTTCCTGTACAGGCAATCAGCTTTTTTGGGCTGGTAATGTCACTGATAAATGCTGTATGTATGCGTGCAGCCTCAGCATGCATGCAGCCAGCATGGAGCCCAGTGTCCGACCAGTAAGTTGGAGGGGATGGGGTGCATGGGGGGAAAATATCAAGGCCCCTCATGGTGCGGGAGGGAGTGGGGCTGAGGCAGGGGTAGGCACTGCCTAACCAGGGCGGGGCAGGGCACGGGACTAAGCTGCACGTGGCTCATCTGGAGCCACAGGGAAGACAGGTGGCTTCCTGCCACTGCGCACACCCCCAGAGGAGGAATGTGCCTCCTGGATTTGTGTGCGGGATAAAGGTGAGCTGTCTACTGAAGGCGGGGGTGGGCTGTGGGGTGGGCTATGACCAACCAAAAATTCCTTGTAGCCCCCCACCCTCCCAACCCACGTCACCTGCCCTGCCCACCCCGAGTACAGCCATGGCCCAGCCCCCCCTGCCAGGAAGAGGCCGGCGCAGCCCCTGGTCCTGAGCCCAGTGGGCTGCCTGCCCTTGCCCCGTGCACAAATCCGGTGTGCACAGCCCCCTATGCCTCCCCCAGCGGTGTGCGCAGTGGCAGGGAACCACTCCTCCTCCCCACGCCCCTGGACGAGACACACAATGCTCTGTCCCGTGCCCTGCTCCCAACTGCTGTCCCACTCCTCCCTCACCATGGGAGCCTCGATCCAACCCGTCCTCTGCTCCCCTTCCCCCCACACCGGCTTACCAGCCAAACAATGCTCTCCATGCTGCATATCGGCTATTGGATCAGTATTGGGCGATATGGCCGGTTAATAATTGGCCACTGATATCAGCCCAAAAAATATTGGTACACCCCTAATACTGATTCCTCTGTTTGTCAGAATAAAATTAGATAAAACAACAATATTGATTTGCTAATGTTAAGATTAAGAAATTCTAGACCTCCATATAGAGTCATGTCCACTTCTCTCCTCTTTTCTTCCCCTACCCACTTGCATCAGTAATCCTGAACCCAGCTGTCTACCCTTGCCTGCATTAACAGCCTTCCCCTGATGACTAATTTCTGTATACTTGTAACTCAAACAAGTAACAGTGTCTGCTGCAGTAATGAGGTTCAGGGTTTGAATTTTAGTCAAGGTCTATGGTGACTTGATACAGCTACAAACATTTTGTTATATTTCTTCTTTAAAAATAACCCAGGAATTGATATCCAAGACTCACTACTTTAAAAAAAAAAAAAATGTTATTTAGGTTACGAAGTCAAACATTTGAAAGACAGAATGCCAAATGTACAGTTGACTGTGGAAGCTTAATATGTCCCCTCTCCTCATGCAAAGCAGTAACATCTAATGGCATGATCACATACTACTTTTCCATGGGAAACCTTCCTCTTTCAGCATCCATCCTGTGCATAAAAGGGGAGAATTAACGTTGCACAGACAGCTATGTTGAATTTTAGCATCTGACTAAACAACACTGATTAATGGAGTTTTTCCCTATGTAATATACTCAAGCACAAGTTTACTGTTTATCAGTATACATCCAAAGAAGTATGAAGTCAGATAAGGGTAATAGAACTTCCAAAGGAAAATTTTAAACTCTGTTCATTTAAAAAATATATATTAATAATTAATTTGTCACTGCTGAAACATTTCTTCATTTAAAGTTCCAGTGTTAGTTTTGCAGTCTTAAGCCAAACTACAGGCACAATCACCTTATAAAATAAAAGCATCTGGTTTTGAGAAAAAACACTCTTCCCTCCTCCCCACTCCTCTTCTAGTTAGAACAAAAACAAGGGTAAAAGGTGAGTTTAGTCCTATTATCAAAACTACAATTTTCTTAGTACAAAAGGACTCTCTCTCAGTGAACAACACATTGACCTTAAATTTAATTTGGACCCACAAAGTACACATCTCGATTCTCTCACATGAGAAGAAAGTCTACAAGCAAGGACCTGAATATACGTTTACCAGTTGACAGTATCCTCTTGAAGTCTTAATAGAAGCTTCTACTCCTTGGAGAACTGATGTAGCAGCTTGTCTTCAGTACCTGAAGAAACAGAGAAAGAAAGATTAAAAGACAAATGGCACATGGTCTAATTGAATCAAAATGTCATGCTTCAAAGCTGTAACTGTAATATATGCAGTAACAAAAATTCTAGCTCACCATCTGTTTTGATATCAAAGAAACAATATGATTACTCAATCTTTAAAAATGTAAATCTGGGTTGTTATGATTTTAACTAAGTTTACGGAAATGGACAAGTAATGCAAGAAAGCATATAAATATACACTCTTGGGTGCAGTGAAAGACTATAGGCATCTTACTGTGGCAATAAAAATTAAAAAACAAAGTATTTTTCCAACAGGTTAGTCATTTGAAGTCGAATTGTTTAAACTTTTTTTTTTTTTTTCCAAATTGGCCTTCTGATAAGTCACTTGTTTTGCAGTACCAGCTAATTTTTTATATATACACTCAAAGATGACTGTACCATGAGTGTCCAACAACAGCAATCATTCATGTAGCTGATAACCCTTTTTACAATAACTGATCCTATATTTTACTATTAAAAAAAAAAATGAATCCTGTAATATAGCTTGCTAGAGATATTTCAGTTTCCAGCACATTGGCCAACAAGTTGCTGACTCGAAATAAATGTTTGATCACTTTCCTTCATAAAATGAGAGAATTAGGAACAGTATCATTTACAAATTAGTTTCATGAATTACTGCAGACAATGGAGCAAACAATACCAGGAATAACCACAGGGTAACCTCAAGCACTAAATCTCATCAAGTAAAGTTACCACCAATACAAAGCCACCAGTAATTAAGTCTTATTTACAAAATGTATACTTCCTTCGTTGAATCTTTGGAATTTCTAGTTTGGAAACGCAATGCTTGAAGAACCAAAATATCATATGGTTTTATATAATGACTCCATTTAGATTTTTGAAAGCCTTTAATAAATATACTTAAATTCTTTTGGAGTGGCTGCAGGAGGAAAACATAGCAGCATTATTCACAAGAAACAGTTTTTAAACAACAGTTGGGTCTTGGGCAACGGACTCATTAGGAAATGCATGTTCATCTTCTACTCTGCAGGTCTAATAGGTGTTTTCCACCTCTGTTATGAACTTAAGCACCTAATCCCCACCTGCCACTGTCCCACATCCTGTGTTTCCTCCTGTATAGCAGATGCCTCAGTACAAATTAAAGCAGGAGTATTAAACTTATGGTCGGTCACTAGACTGACTCCACGTGCTGACCCCCATTGCACACAGTGTACAGAGCTGACTTATCTGCATCCAGCGCACATGGCACAAGGCGTACGCTCCATGCAGTGCCCCGCTGAACCCAGAGCCAATGCACAGGGTTAGTCAGCAGGGCAACACACGGTGCGCACTTCCCATGCAGCATGCAGTCCGTGTGGCTGGTCCAGTCCCAAGCACCACAGGCAGCACACACCAGTCCCAGGTCTTGTTGTGTACGCAGGGCCCAGACCTAGAGCTGGGCAGGAGGAGCTTCAGTTAATTAAACAACTACCAATGTACAGAGGCACCCTGTAATACAGCCTGCAACAGTTCAAATGAAGCAAATGAGAAAAGTCAATCGTAAGCATAGGATGCCCTGAACAATATGCACCAAAAAGCAACATTTACCTAGGACAGGCACAGTGTTTGACAAATGAAGAGTTTGCTGTCCTACCTATTTTGTTGTATGAAACTCTCTCTCTCTCTCGGCACAGAAGTTTGCTAATGATCTAAGAGAGAGCTCAGCTGTCCTAAAAAGTTTTGCAGAAGTGCACGATTTGCTCTTAAATAAAGAAATCTTTCTACCTGCCTCCATTTACGTCTTCCTTATCTATGGTTCATCATGTCCATCTCTTGCCAAGGAGCTGCATGAAATCAAACAATTCCTGGCATCTCCACTGCTACCTGCAGTCCTGAATGGGCAGTCAGTGACCCGTATTTCAGTCAGACACTGCCTGATAAAAGTCTGAGCAACAGAGGCACTGTCACTGTCCCCAGAATTAGACAAAGTGATATCGGTTTTTCAGTCAGCTCCTGAGTGGTTATTTCTGCAACCACAAGCTCTAGAATTTCCCTCCTAATAAAAGCTTAAATTCTGCTGTAACATATGGCTTTGATCTATTTATACTAATCAGGAAAAAGCTTCTCCTTTTACTACCATGGAATTAATTTTTCAAGACTTGATTGAATGCATCTCTTAAATTTTCTAGGCTCTAATATAACATTTCCTATTGGAATGAAAAATTCTTTATACCGTTGCCAAATTCTGTCCTGACAATAAACTTTATTTACCTTGGTTCTGATCAGATTAATTAATGTTTACATTTTTTAAATTCGTACGGTAATGGGCAAATAGCTCATTTTTTAAATGAGCAGTTTTCAATTATATGCTCTGTAGAAATAAGAATACAATCTAAAAAAGTAGACCAACTGAACAGTCAGAACTGATTGTTCAGGATAAGTAACTTCAATGAGTAGGAAGCCACAGACAGAGTTAATTTAAATCACCTTGGTTTTTTCAGAATGTACAATGCTATATAGGATTACTACAGAAGAAGCTGCTTTAAACAAGTTATCAAGTCTGACAGCATTTCTTCAATTCATTATGTAAATGAAAAATGGGAAATGTTACCAGTGTATAGTTAAAGGAGCATTTGTGTGGCAAGTTGAGAAACTGCTGAAGGGTCAGAAAAAGATTATGCAAGAGGTAAGGATTTTTGCAGGTGATGCCCTTTACTGGACCAAGTACATGTTTGGGAGAGTCTTGGATCAACTTTCTAAAGACATCCCCCACAAAAATTCTGGCTTCTCAAATTCCTGGATCATTACAACTACAATCTCACTTCAACACCACAAAAAGTTTGGACAGACAAGAGCAGCAGCAGACGAACTACCAAGCCCAAATTTTAACAATGCAGCATTTCAGGGGATAAGTTCATTCATAGGTGGGATCCAAAATAAATGCCCATTGCCATCTACCCTCCCCAAAACCACTATTTGAACAGCATCACAGTTAACTTCAGTAGGGTATCTCGACACTTATCCTGAAGCATCTATCAGCCAAATGGAAGGTAACGTGAATTAAATCACAAAAAGATCACTACTGCAGCTACTACTACTACCAATAAAACAAAAAAACAGATCAGATTAGGTGCTCCAATACAATATTTTCTGAAAAGCAGAAAGTTCAACTGTTTTTATGTTAATTCCTTAATCTGCAGAAGCAAAGAACTGGCTAAAGATGTTGTTATCACAGACTTTCCTGCATTATATCTGTGAAAGGGCAGTTTGTCTCTCATTCTAGGTCAGGGGTGCTCAACCCCTGGCCAGCAAGCCAGATACAGCCCACACAGCCACACAATTGGGCTCATTGGGCTCTCCAAAGGTCTGGAAATTTGATGAGGAGGAGTGGTGACAATTAATACTGTCACCACTCCTCCACCACCAAATTTACAAGCCCCACTGGCCAGATGATATGGCCCTATGCATGGGACCCCACCTACACCCACAGGTGTGGGCAGCAACCCATCCTAATTTTTCAGAATTTCTTGTCCCCGCTTGCAGAACTGTTCTCCCAGGCTTCTTACAGATAAGGAGGTTTAATATTTATACCAAATACCCAAGCAGTCCTCTATCTTGGATCACTTTTTTTTTCCTGATTTACTTTGCACTGTTTCCAAATTACAATGAATATTCAAAATGACTTAATCTTAGCTGCCACTTAATAAAAAGCTTGATATGCAGAGCATAAAAGTCCCTTTCTCCCAAATACCAGATTCTGCTCCAAGTTTACATCAGAAGAGCTTCAACCTCCTACAGAAGTAAGAATCCTAAGGATCATAAGGATCCTAAGGATCAGCTTACACGCCTGTAAGGATCATCTAACATTTTATTTGTATTTCTGAAATTTGTGGCTCCTCTTTGAAAGATTAATTTACAAATAAAATCTACATTATTGCAATTCTTACTGTAGCACCTTAAAAAACAGTTCATTTGAATTCAACACCCAAGCACCACAAGAACTCATGAACAATAGTTCTATTAACAAAATTCAGAGAAAAAAACAAAAGCAATTTGTGAAACATGCCACAGGGAAAAGACTAAGTTACTGTTCTAATTTTCATAATCTTATGCAAAGAATGGGACAAGAAAGTTTGAGTCAAGTCAAAATAGATTCGGTCTGAAGAAGCCAATTTTAGATGCTCATGAAAACATACTGTGTAAATTCAAGCTGCTTCTAAACTTAACACTAGTTCTTCAACTAGAACAGTAGCTGCTGGTAAGTAGCACTACTTATGCATTTATATATTTATTTAATAGATTTATTTTGCACCCCACCCAAAAGGCTCAAAATAGCTTACAGAAAATAACTATTCAATCAGACATGAAAAGTTGGATGTACAGGTAACAAGAGCACTTTGCAAAGAAGGTGCAAAGCAATCCACTGGCATAATACGTGCAACTACCCCTAGGCAGCCGTTGCTGTTTGAACAGAGTTCAGGTCAATGATCACTACTGCGAGGTGTTGCAACAATAGGAACAAGCTTAAACACTGTACTGAAGCCTGCAATTTACAGTTTAAGTTTCAAACCATTCCTACGATTTCCCTGCACCTCCCATACAGGTAATGTGAAACTCTGAACTGGCCCTGACTTCATACCAACCATTCATTCCAGAAAACACAGAATGTTCTTGCCATCCAAACAGTTCCACTTTATCTTGAAGAGGGACAGCAGCATATTTTCTCAAAGTACATATTCACTTGGCAGCTCTGCTCAGAAAGACGCATGCCAGATTCGTTCTGAGTCATGAGGTGTTAAAGGAAATTCTGCATTTCTGATACTGTACAACAGATACATGTGCCAAACGGTTTAACTCTCCATCAACAGGAGATCTGGAGTTGGAACTGCAGCCGCTGCCCTGTGCTGCCTCTGCTCACCCCACTTCAGTCCAGGGCATGGACCATGTACCTTGCTGACCACCCTCCCCAAGCCAGGCAGCAGTGGTTGTGGTGGCA